TGCTTTTTAATCTTTGTAAAGCACCACACATAACTGCATATTCCAATAGCTATAAGTCTTTGTAGTTTGCCTTTTCTATGCTTTTTAATCTTTGTAAAGCATCACACATAACAGCATATCTTTAATATTTGCTACTATAGACTCCACGCTTTCCAGAACTGTTTAGAAAAAGAAAGATGAACAAGTATGGATGCAATCCATTTTAGTTTCTTCAATGCGTGTGTACAAAGCTGATAACCAAGTGCATTTCTATTGCTATGTGGAACAACAATTATCATCAAGTGGTAACTGTTGAAAATTTTTTGCTTATGCAATAGGATGCTTGGTTAATGACTCATAATTGGTTGTTCCCAAGAATCATGTCCTGAATTGGTTCAAAATTAGGTCCCAGTTTGCTTCTGACCATATGTTGCATTCTGATTAAAAGAACTTGATCGGTTGATTGAGCCGAAGAAGATAATTTTTTCAAAATATCATTGTTTTCAGATTTTCTGGGAGAAGGAGACTTCTTTTTTTTTTGAGCAAAATGGAATAATTTTTTATTGAAGATGAGCAAAACAGCTTACGCTCAAGGGGTAAAAACCCTATGTACACAAGGCCACATACTATTCTGTACACTACTTACAAAAAGAGGCAAAATGCACACACAAACTTTGCAAAGCAAGTCCAAGGAGAGACCCCATTCCAGGCAAAGCTTGAAATTAATCTTGGAAATAGGAATCTTCCCCCAAGCCTTAATCACATGCTGGACTGAGTCAATCTTCGAATTCATTACACTCCTAGCAGAGGAAGAGTTTGCTGAAAGAACCCCTGCATTCCTTGCTCTTCATACTTCATATACATGTTCTCTACACACTGCACACATTCTTTGAGCCGTCTGCCACACAACCTGGGATTCTCCACAACCAAAAACGGGCTGTCAAATGTTTCATATTCCTCATGGCACAACACAATCAACATTTGGTACCTGAAACCCCTATTTCACCAATCTATCTACACTATATAACCTTCTTTTATTAGCTAACCAGAGAATCAGAGCAAATCTAGGGACATAGTTCTTGCCCCATGCCAACTTATACCAATACACAGCTGGTCCCTGGGATCTGAGACTGTTCATAGCAGATTTGGTAGTGAAGATCCCAGAAGTATTTAGAGTCCATACAGTTTGATCATGCATATCTGGAGAAGGCATAAACAAGTCAGGAGACTTAAAGAAATAGCAAAGCACAATAACATTTTGATTAATATCAAATTTCTGGATGAAGAAGAGATTATATATATTGATATTGATAATGGACAAAATTTTCATATCCCATGTTTTTAGGCTCTTATCTTTTCGAATTTGATGCTTTATAATTTGAATTTCCTCTTTTCATTGAACTGGGTTTACTTAGTACATTGTTTTGATTTGATCAGAGAAATAATTAGACTGGCGTATTTCCCTTGAGATTGTAATTTCTAGGTTCATGGGCGCCTTGCCATGAGTATTTGGAGTTCCAGTAACTATATTGTTTCCAAACAGGCCGGTTAACAGAAATTACTCGTATACTTTTGCCTTCTCATCGGCTGATGAGATATACATGTATTCTTTTTCAGGGTGATGATATTGGTGGCTTGGATCTCAATACCCTTGAAGAAATGCAGAGCCTTCACGTCGAAGCTATCACGAAGATTTGCCATGCAAAGGTAGTTTTTGTCAATGTGTTCTAGCTGTATGGTTTACCTAATTTGTCATTCTTTGAACTTCATAACCATCTTTATTTTTTGAATTCAATAACTTCTACATGTTAACTTGACATGTTTGTGCCTAATAATTATTTGATTTATTATTTTTGTCCCAGTTTCATGTTATTGTCCTCTATTCAATATTTATGATCAGCCAAAGTTCGTACTTTTTGGTTTTACTCTGCATACCTTTTTATCAGTCTATATTGGATAAAGGGGCTTATCCTTGCAAAAATTAATAAACAAGCTTATAGAATTGCCAATCTATAGGATGGCTAGGCATATTATAGGTCAGGCATATTATAGGACTGCGATCAATATTCTCCAAAACCTGATCAGTGTATTTCCTTCAAATTTCGAGAATAGAACCTGAGGGATATGTGGTATGCTAAGAATGGGCTCCTCACATTTTGTGGTTGTCATTTGGTAAGTAACCTAACAGATGTATGATATTCTGGGAATAGGCTTCTTTACATTATGTGGTTTTCATTTGCTAAGTGACTGGTAGAAATGATGGCATGGTTTTCTTTTCGAAGGAGCATATGTTTGGTGTATTACTACATAATTAAGATATGTTTGTTAACTTGAACAATGAACTTAGCATATTCTATAATCAGTTCAAGTTCAAAAATCAGTAAGTTGAGCACGTTTTGGAACAGATTTATTGAAGTACTCATCTCTCTAGAAAGAAAGAGTCATTACAGAGTTGTTTAATGAAAAAAGAATTAGGGAATGTTGTTTTGATTCAAACTATTTCCTTTCCAGAACTTGTTATTGTCGGTTCTTTAAATAGCACGTAATTTCTTCTTGTTCTCCTTGTTACTGTTGGACTAATTAGGTAGATTCCAACTTATCATGAGCTGAACACTTTCCTTGCACATATAATTGGGGCTTGGTTCCTTCTGAAGAGCATAATATGCTGAGACTGAGCCTGCTTGCATGATTTTTTCAAGTCTTGCATGGGGTTTAAGGTCAAAGAAAGATTGCATTGCCTGCTTCATCTTCACAAGCATTAAAACTGGTTTTCTTTTTTATCTGACAATTTTCACTGTCCAAGTTTCGAGTCATTCTTAAGCATTAATTTTGACTTGTTAAATACATAATGAGTTCGAAGTTGAGGATGACCATGAAATGTTGACGATTTCAAGGTTGAGTCATAACTAGTCTTTCCTTCCTATAAACCTAGTCATTGAGGTCTTAACTGGGTCTATCCATCCGGAAAAACTGGCACTTCTGTTTTCCGAGTGTGTTTTTGTGTTTGTCTTTCAGTATTAGTATGTGCTTATGCTGTTAGCATCTAATTATAGGCAGGTCTCTTTCGCACGCAACAGTTTCTGGCTTTGTGTAGTTTTTGATTCAAGACTTAGTCTAGCCAGCAAGGATGCATCTGCTAAATTGCTTGATTATTTGTAAATATCATTCCTGAGAAGATGGAAATCTGGGATTTGTATGATTTTCCATCAATTGTTTCTGAAAGTCATTATGGAGGACAAAAGGATGGAGCAACATAGTGATGGTGAAATTACTAATTCATCCTAATGAAAGAAGCTATAGACCATTTAAGTCCCATCCTTTTACTCTCTGATTAGCAATTCTATTATGTAATGTAAGAAGTGCTGAAACAATCATTTCGAACATTAATTCTCGCTTTAGCCCGTCACATCAAATGCTTAGTTCTTTAAATGTCTGTAAACAAAATTATATCCCAAGCATTGGATTGCACAAAATTTCAGATTACTTCACTGTCTATTGATTGAGATATCTATAATTGCTCAGCAGCTTATGTTTGGAATTAAACATTAGTGAGGAACTTATTTCTTGGCATCTTATATGTAAGACTATAAAGGCAAATTATTTGAGAATATAAGGTTAAATTTGAAACTTAAGTACTTCGAAAGTTGTTGAGGACACATCTTGGAAGTCATTGGTGGAATAGACCGATTAATATCATGAATTGTTTTGCATGATTTGAATGCTTACAATAATCCAAATTGGATTTCCCGGTGTGTTGAACTGGTTAATCTGATTAGTCATTATCTGGTACCCCTTCTTGTAAACTTTTAGAGCACCATAGCAAATTTTTCTGGATAATGATGGTCTTACCTGTGGCATTTGTACCTGCAACGGTTGGATATGCCACTAAAGATATGCTCGATGTTTAAATCTTATTGGCTAGAAATTTTGTGCTTAGGATTTCAAGTCACAGTTCGGACTGCTTGGCTTTGTGCCTTTGTCTATCTGCTGCATTATTCTTGTATGCACAGATCATACTGGGTAAAGCAGAAAACAATAAATTGTTTTACAGACTTTTTTCTTTCGGTAATGTTAATCCTAAAATTAGGAAGTGCATTGCTTGTATGTCATTTTTCTTTCTTCCCTTTTGCACTTATGGTTATATACATTCTTTAAAATGATTCACCATATCCTCAGCGTACACTATTGTTGCACTGACTTATAAACTAATTGAAATTGCAGTGTACAAATCACATTTCATCGTAGCCTTTTACAGATCAGTTTTCTTCAGTTCGGGTAAGTCTATATCTTCCTCCCTCCAACCCCATCTCTCACACTCCTGCAATTTGGCATTACCTGTAACATCAACTTCCAGTTGTGGTTTCCCTTTTGGGCCTAAGATGATTTATTCTCCCAGTAACCTGTCTAAGATAGTCTTGGACCGATACAGCTGATGAAACATGAAATGATATGTCATTGTGGCTCAAGGTGGGATAATGTTGAACCCTTGCGTTTTATCTGTTTAGTACAAAAAGCAGTCAGAGACCATTGTTATCACCTCATTCATGATTATTACCCAAAAGTGGATCCTCATTCTGCAAAGGTTAATAAAGTGTCAGCAAAAACCCCCACCCCAACCTAATCCATCTGAAATCTTCCACGACAACATACCTAATCCATAATTGGAGGTGGAAGTATTTTCCAAGGCCTAAAGACCTGAACCCTGCTAAGATTTCACTGCTCCTCCCCCCATCAAGGTTTAATTCGTGCTCTTAATTACTCATTGTGGTAGTTTGTATTCAAGTTTGCCTAGACGGTGCCCTATTCAAACTGATTCTATGATTGCTTGTGCCCATCGCAGGTACTAGACAAACATCTATATTCGAACCTTGATGAAAAGCAACAGTAGGTGTTTGTACCTCAGTCATCATTAATCTTATTTCTGCTTCAAACAAGAAGCATAGGAAAGGTTTGGTTGGAATACCGCATATACAAATCTAACTCAACTGCAACAAGATACAATGGGGCCATTCAGACACGTTACTGACATGTTCTTGTATAGGGGTAGCACCCAATCTATATTTATATATATACTCTGCATGTATATGGAATTTACATCAAGGAAGCATTGTACAACAAACAGCTATCCATCCTTTTATGTCATTTCTATGTGAACAAATAACATGAAATTACATTTTATGCAAGTTTTTAACTCTATTTGCTAGTCTGCTTCCTAATGTAACCACAAAGTAGCAGGGCAACTCCCTTCTAAAATGTTGAAGTTGGCAGAGTAAGGCTGATAATAACCTTCACTGTAATCACGATCCACACTGAAATAAAGAAGAAAAAAAATTCTTGTGAGAATGCCCCCTCCACCCCGATAATGTCAAAGGTAAAAATGACAATGTCATGGTCAGGACTTGGGAAGCCTGTTGCAATTCGCTGAAGCCCATCCAATCTGCTGCTTTTCATTGTCGTAAATCACCAACTTGTCTTGCAGAGAAATGTCTATGATATAGAAAATTTGAAGTTAGAAAGTTAAAGAGGTTTCCACAAGATATGATTTGCTTTTTCATACTTGCTTACCTCCAATCACATTAAATTTTCCGATTCCAACTTCAGTACCATTCAAGATACCTAAGCATGCGTTGCCTTGTTTCTGAAAAGAATTAGACAAAATCATCTTTCTGTTACATATTTCCTAAGCCTGTACTTGTCCGCAGATTTAATGAATACTGAAGGGCTGCTTACCGTGACAATGAGATACGCTTCAGGTTGCAGTTGAAATTGAACATTTTTAGCACTTGTAAACACTAATGCTAATGGTTTGAAATAGCTCTTGACATCTAAAATTGATTTGAAAGGCTTTGGAGCTTTCCAGCAAATTGGAAGGCTCTTGTCATCCACAGCATCTTGTAACTGTTTCCTCCCATTTATATCTTTTTTTAACTGAAAAGCAGTACTTCAAATTTAGCTTCAGCATTATACGTAATAAAGCATGAAAATTTTTGAGTGTCCATCTCACCAAAGAAACTACAGCATTGTAAGCTTGGGAATTAAAGTAATTATAAGTACTCCCACTATCGAAAACTATAGATTGGCCTTTAACCCCTGAAGCCTGGCCGCCAAAAAAGAGGTCTGCTGGTCCCACGGAGTAGTGTTTCCTGAAGAGATAACAGGCTATGTAAGGGTAAAAGTTAAGCATGAAAAGAATGCTACAATAGCACTATAAGCTATCAAGATCTTACTCGAGGGAGTTGCTTGATAATGATGTCCATACAATTCCTGAAGAAGGAACAAGATCATCACCAAAGAAAAGAAATCCCCCACCTTGAACACTGAGGCAGTGTCCAATTACATTCCGTGTCAGTCCCAGGCCATTCAATTGCGATAAAATGCTAGACTTCCCAGTGCCGAGGCCAAGTACTCCATCTGTATAAGGCGGATTCGGACCTGGAATTTCTTGATCGTAACCACAGCTGCAAATAGACAATAAAAGATGACAAGATGCGATGTACAAGGAAAAAGTTAGTCTTACTTCCCATGAACAAAAACATCTTGAACTACACCCAAGAGGAAAAACCAATTCAATGTGATAACAAGGGCATATTAGAATCTAAGGTCACATGAAGAAATGAAATAGTCATCGAGGTAAAATAATCTTGTAAGTTACCTACCCAAATGCCAGACGAGGTGCTGAAATGCTGCCATTAGTGAATCTCAGGGGGAACAAATCTTGGACAAGCACGCCGAGAGATGAACCCCTATCAGCATACTCAACCTGATAGTCACACTGGTCTAAGGATTCACATTGATGGCTTGTAGGCCAGTAAAGGGATACACATAAGGGATCTTTACATGTGACAAGGTTTTTGTTGGGTTTGTAAGGACTGTGGGGTGCCTGCAAAAATAGAGAGATAATGCATCTATGTTCAGCAAAAGCCCCAAAGTTTGAAAAGTACAAAAAATTTTCAATGAGAAGTTCAGAGGCAACAAAGAATTACTGGTGTGCATTTGGCACAAGGTGCATCACACTGGAGCCAGGTAAGGTCACTTCCAGTGTCTATATCTAGAAAATAAGGTTTAGGAGGCTGGCCTATGTTCACTGTCACCTGATAATAGCTGCACATCACACAATATGAACAGCTTATTGAAAGCATTGCCAATTAAACAGACACAAAATTCCATCACCAGACAATTCTAAATTCTACTAATGCTGGCATTGTTAATCATTATTTAACTAACAAGACCATGATGCCCCAAAATTTCCTAAGCTCTTCATTCCCTCATCTATGAAATCATGATCCTGAAAGCACGCGAAAGCTCATGACGCATGAATGCAAGCGCTAGCACACACATACAGAGATTAAATTCCAAATCTAAATTGACCTGCTTATGTAAGGATAAGGGGAAACTTATTCAAAATTTTCCACAGAAAGAAAAAAGTGAAAAAAAAGAGAAGCTCAATATGATCAAGGAAATCGTACTGTATTTAGAAAAGCTCTGTAACGCATTCTGGAATTGATGATTTACCGATTACAAGAAAAAGTTAACTGGGAAATACAGGTTGAATTAATTTAAAAGACAACTGTGTGAAATAGTACAAATGGACTTAATAGGAGTTGCATAAGAAATTCAAACTAGATCAAAGTCAAAGTTAAAAAAAAAAAAAATCAGGATTCTTCCCAACAGTTTCAACTGCATGATGAAACCCAAACACAAACTCTCATTCATCTCATCATAAAAAAAGAAAGAACAAAAAACTCCTACCAAAACATCCATCCATAAATACAGAAACTACGAGAATGTCAGAATGATAACTATCGAGATTACCGGCATATATCGTTTAATTTAAAATTACAGAATTTAAAAGAACAACAATCGGATAAAAAACTCTCCGGTAATAAACAAGAAGGTGCAAGAGCGTCAAGATTGATCATAACTAATGAAATTACATGAATATTTCGTTTTTAAAAAACAATAAAAAAAAACAAAGAACACAAAAGAATTGTGGCATACCCCTTGGGATAAACATTTCCGCTAACAGGGAAAATCACAGAGGAAGCAGAAGCCTTCTTTTTGGTGGCAGAAGAGCGACTGGCGGCAAAGGAACAGCTAGGAAAAGATGCCAACAAGACCACCAATAAGCACAAAAAGCCTTGCAAAAAGGGTATTTTTCTGGGACTCTTTTCCTCATGCATGTTGATTGATTTGGCCCGATTCTGATTCAGGTGGAAGAATGCTAGAAAAGGGATTTAGCCCGATGAAAAGATGAAAAGGGAAAAGTGCTTTTCAGGGGCAGTTTCTTGGAGTTTGCTGGGGACTGGGGACTGGGGAGGGGTTTATTTATGAAGTCTAATACTAATGCAATTGCTTTGACTCGTTTTGGTCTGCACGAAAGCAATAATTTTACACGCTCCGCGTCTTCGTAATCTTGATGTTGACTAGTACCACTGCTACTACAAAATTTTGTTGGAAGGTTCCTTTGATAGTAGTAGGAAAATTCCAAAAGGTTTCGATCTATATATTTCTTGGGGTTAATTAAATTACGACTCCCCCGAATTTTGGAGTAGTCACACTTTACCATCTCTAATTTTGAATATATACACTTTGCCACCAAAGGTAATAGCAACTCGAGTAGTTTCTAAGACTAACAACTCATATTATGTATGACTTCTATGAAATTTAGGCTGCGTAGTAGACTAATATTTGCATGATTTATGACAGTTCACCGTTATTATGTGCAAAGAATAGGGGGTTTGGAAGCATAAATACCGAACTTTTAATTTCTTTTGTGCTTAATAATTTACAATTACATTTAAGTATATGTAAGTGATTCTAAGATTAACATACAATTAATGCTTTCTTCCAAAATATTTTTGACAAAATTCTCATATACTCCTTACAAAAAAATCTCACATAGTTTTAGAATAAATTGAAAATTCTCTATATGTTATTTTGATAACGTAAATGTTAAATATGGAATTAGAGATTTTGATTGCTAAATTTTTTTTCACAATGCATTATGGATATATCTTAACATCTTTTTAAAATTACACGTATTGACTTCAAGATCTTTGATACCAAATAATAAAAAATTACACGCCAACATACTCATTTCGTTGGATGGAGTTAACTTTTCTAACGTTTAACCAATCTTCGCAGGGGTGAAGTGCACATTTTTTAAGATTCAAGATTTTAAAATGTTATGACTCCCAAAGTTCAAGGGCGTAAACTGTAATTAATCATCTTTCTTTTTGAAACGAACACTGGTCTAGAACTTTAATAAGAAGTTTTTGTAAGACTGCAGAAAATGAAGTATTAGTATATCACCTGAATCAATCGACAGTCAATTTGCTGTTGTATGTATCCCTAAGTTGGGAGAAACAATTATGAAAACGAAGTTAAGTATTTGTCATAGCCCATGAATACAACAAATCTACTTCTTGACAAGGCAATATTAGGAGGTAGAATCTCCAGCTTGATAAAGAAAGGATTACGCAAATTTGGCTTTTTAGTGTAACGTTGTTGTAAATCATATAATTTTGCTGAGAAAAGAATTGAAGTTTTGGCCCCCCCAATATTTAGATCGTGTGTGTGCTGTACTGGTTCCCAAAATAAATCTAGTTCCCAAAGTTTCTCTCAAAATGAATCTAGTTTCCAAAGTTTCTGATTTCAGGCAAAATTAGGACAACTAATTGAAGATTATAATAACTAACAGTCAAAATTGCCTTTAAAAAAAAAAAAAAAAAAAAACTAACGGTCAAAATCAATTTAGTGTTATTTCTATATTTTTAGTCGCTAATGTTTGAAGTTTCAGTCAATATGGTCCCTTAGGTTTAAAGTAGTCATAATTAGGGGTTTTAAGACAAAATAAAGTTTAAATTAAATTAAATATATAACAAAGGTATTCCTAAATCCCTCAAAATTTTATGAAAACACATATATCAAAAAAAAAAAATTCATTGTTTAACCTAAAGAGCATCTTATTCTTGAATAAGTTACAATTGGATAACAATATACGGGTAATATATAAAACAAAATTACTCAAAGAAAATGAGAATCTAGTTTCAATGTGAAAGTTTATTATCATTATTATTATTACAAAAGTTATTGCATGACATGTAGATATAAGCCTCAGATTATTATAGTTAACGGTTGTAATTATAAAATGTAGTGAAGTTTTGTACCATTATGAAGTGCTTTTAGGAACTTTAAAAAAAATTCTTTTTATTTCTTGTTGTCTTCCTATCTATTAAAATCTAACATCTAAACCTAAAGTTTTAAAGTATTTATTTTCATATTCGTGTACCTCGATAATTATTATGACTAATTCAAATAATTTTATAACTGACCAACATTTCAAACTTATTGACAACCTATTGAATAGAAAAATGGATCAACTTAATCTAATTACAGTATATATTCTTTATATTCTTAAAGGGATGTTTTCCGAATTATCACTAAAAGTGAAAAAAATGATAGAAATTATTATAAATTAATTACTTAATAGTGTAAAACAATAATTACATATATTATACAAAATTTGAGACTAACTATGTAAAGAGAAGAAGTATATGAGAAATTAGTGGCATGAATAAAAGGAGTATGAAATAAAAAAGAAGAAAAAAAGTTTAATTGGGATTCCTATTACACATTTTAATAATTTTGTTCTAATTTGCATCTCACTTCATATTAAAAGTTTCAATATCCTATTTAAATTTTATGAGACTATAATTATTCAAATTCCAAACATTGGGGGACTAAAATTACAAACTCAAAATTGTTGACTAACGGCAATTAGACTTTGATAGTGGTCAATGTTGAATTTTCATCAATTGTCGTAAATATGCCTAATATCAAAAACTTTGGAAATTAAAATTTTTTGGACTAAAATATTAAGAATCAATTTGACATATAGGCCAAACATTAGAAACTAATTGCAAATTGCCCTTTTGCCTGGTGTAGTGATCTTTTTCTTTTCCAGATATTTAAGTTCTAAAATTCAACAACCAATCTCAATCATGACGTTTTGCTGGTAGGTAGACATAACTATGAGCGTGTAAATTGTACAACGAACCATGCTAAAGGTGAAAAATTGTGTTTGGACTGGATAATATTTAAAATAATTATTATAACATTTTTTATGATGTGATGTATGGATTTGTCTGGATATCAAAATTTTTCAAATAATTTTTTATTTGTATCATAAACACAATTTTTAATTCACTTTTTTATCTCATATACATCATATCACAAAAAATATTATAATAATTATTTCAAATAATACTCTGTTCAACTGAAGAGATTAAAAACACGTCTTTGAATTCTCGTGTTTTCTATTCTTTTACCAACCATATGATCCAATATCCGTAGATTGATTTTACTATATTTTGATAACAGTAGAAAGCAAAATGTAGGGGGTGAAGAATTCAATGTGCTAGTGCAAAAGCGTTAATATATGCAAATGAAATTTGTTAGGTAGGTGGTATATAAATCTATTTAATCTTGTTTTGTGGAAAAACTAAAAGATTTCTGCTTTTGAGAAGTAAAAACTTTGAATGCTTGCTAATTTCTGGTCTATTTTGCAAAGAAAAATAGAAAGGAAAAGAAAAGGATACTATTTCCGATAAGCACTCCCCACGTGGGTGTGACCAAATCAACACGTATGGAAAATATGTGGATGCAATAAGAACTATTCCCACTGAACTTTCCAAGGTATAACAAAAACATTTGATCTTTCAAAAAAAAAAAAAACATTTGATGTACATGACATAATATAATAGGAATTACCAAAAACGAAAAAAATAGAGTTATAAAGTTGCAAATTAGAGTTCATATAGCTACAAAGAAAAAAAAAGGAGAGGTTGAAATGATATGAATGATCATTCTTTTTTGTTTGCTTAACAGGTTCCTTAATAATAGACTAGAAATTTTTCAGTAGAGAAAGTAATTCAAGGCATTTTTTTTTTGTCAAAAAAAGGACCTGGTTCCACTTCAACTCCCAACCCTTATTTTGATTATTGGTTATTCCCCATTTTTATTACAAGGATCGAACTCTGGTGGATGCCCTAACTAGGGATTACATCACCAAGTCGGCTACCTTGGAGGGACTAAGTAATTCAAGGCATTTGCACACATGGAATGCTAGAAAAAGCTAAAAAGACTAAAAAACTTACAACTGTCTATATACAATTCACGCTTGTCTACAACACTAGATAGTGCTATGTTATTCATTTTCTCTATTCTTCAAGGATAAGGATCACAAACCCCTTTTTTTTTTTTTTGGGGTCTTTTCGGGCCTATTCTTTTTGAGGTTTGGAATGGGGAAGGCCACAAATTTTGGTGATTTTATATATGGCTTAGGTAGTGGTCGTTGAAGGTAACAGATAATTGGTGTATATATATATACTTCATCATATCAGTGTTGAATGAAGATGCTTACTTCGTCAAATCTTGATGTTTGAAAAGTAAATGTGATGATGCAATTTCCTTGAAAAAAAAAAAGAGGCCATATGTGTTAAAGCGACATATTAGTCTATTTCACTTTTTTAATACTCCACAAAATTTTGTTTAAGTAGAAACAACAACATCATCTAAGTGGGAGTAGGTTGAACATTTAAGCAGTGATGGAAGAAGTCAAGAAGACGAGCCAACAATCTCCAATGAACTTTTAACTTAAATAAAAAAAAACCAAAAAAAAAAAAAAAAAGACCTTCAATGGCTCTAGCTTATAGATCATTCATCTTTATGCAATGTAAATCCAATTCTCAATAATTTGATTCACTTGAGGATTTACTTTTCCACATTTTATACTAAATTAAATTTTGAGCAAAAAAGTTTGAAGTTTTTGGTTTACTCAATAGATTTCTTTCTATTGGTTCTGCAGTGTCGTCTGATTTAAATATTCTGCTGTTAAAAGAAAATTTTGCCTATACCTTCTCAGGTATTCTGACGGACATGATTTTGAAGTTTTTATTTTTTATTGTTTTTATCCTTAGGAGCAGTGCATTAATGAGTATAATCATGTTTTGCCTTTTTTCTTTTCCTTTTTTTTCTGGGGTGCAGTACATTATCATCTTTTGCTGATAGCATGGTAAAAGTTACTGTTGACCTGCTTCAGCCTGTCATGCTAATCTCATATTCTAATTAATTGATTAGGTGGTGAAGCATGGCAGAATTATTGGATCTGAAGATGTTAAGCAAACACTGTTTTAGGAATATGCAGGTTATGGAGGAAGATGTCTATAGAGAGTGTGGCTGTAGCAGAATAAATCTGGACAATTATCAGAAGCCTGGGGAAGGAACATGGAAGATGATCTGTTGTGTTAGCAATTTTTTTTAATTTCT